TATATATATATATGTATATATGTATATGTGTGTGTATATATATATATATGTATGTATGTATGTGTGTGTGAGAGAGTTATGTAAAAACTCGCCCCCTGCACAGTTGTCATGAAGGATGATGTTAACTATAGAGACCACAACCGTTTTTTGTAGCCGGCTGTAAACATGTTGATTTCTGCTGTAAAGTTGGGCAGTTTAACAGGGGGGGGTGTGTGGAGATTGACTCTCTTTTGGAGCCAGCTTCAAGTGGCCATTTGGTGAACTGCACTTCAGCGTTGGCATCACTTTTCAGCCTCTGGGGTTGCCACCTAAATCACATAAACCCTCGTTGAGCTGGGGCCAGCTTTGAATGTTGTACACAGTCACACAAAAGTTACCTCTTTTAGATGGACTCGATTTATAACAAGCAGCATTTCTCAAGCTTTTGTTGACTTGGCACTGTTTCCAGGTGGGTTTTCCTGAAGGTGTTGTGAATATCTTGTCAGGCATGGGACCATCAGCTGGCGCTGCCATTGCAGGGCACATGGATGTTGACAAGTTGGCCTTCACTGGATCCACAGAGGTAGGACTATTCTGTTTCTTCACCTTTAGTCATTTTTGGCAGCAGTATGCAAAATACTCTGTGGCAATTGGAGGTGGGGGGGGGGGGGGGGTTGAGTTAATGTTGAGTTGCTTGCTATTATCAATTTTGACAATGTTAATATGTATCACAATATCTTGATTTATTATTTATACTGTAGTAGTTTTTATAGCACCAACTTCTCCACCAATGAAATCCTTTCAGCTGAAGCCAAGGTGTCACCACTTCTCTCTTTCCCCATCTGTGTCCATCAGGTCGGTCATCTGATCCAGCAGGCGTCAGGCAGCAGTAACCTGAAGAAAGTCACACTGGAGCTGGGAGGAAAGAGTCCTAATATCATCCTGTCTGACGCCAACAGTGTGTATTCCATAAAACAATGTGTTTGTATGCTTTAGAGATATAACTGCCACGCTCACAAATGTTCGCTGGCAACATGTCTCTCTCTGATGGGGACCCAAAGAACAGCAGGTTCACTGTTGGGCAATTGACCCGTGGCTAAGTCCTGCGCTCGAACACAGACCAGCAAATCATAGCGTAGCATTAGCCAGCTCTGACCAAAGTCTGACAAACATCTGCTTCGTAAACTCTAATGCGATCGTTTCAAATGTTCTACCCTTTCAGGCTGGTTTTGTGGATTTGGAAATAGTCACAGTTAAACATTGTTTAATAGTGATACTCATTACCCGGGAGGTTAGAAGGAGATTCAGGTTTCTAAAATGTTACGCGTCTATGTAAAATCCTGTGGAGCTAACATTAGCAGAGAACGTTAGCACATCATTAACTAGTGTTAGCACTTCAGTGCTACGCTAGCCGCTACAGGTATACTGAATGTCCCTTAAGTACACTTCTACATCAATATAGAAAAGTGAGAAATGTAACCAGGATTTTCCACCTGCTATCAATTGCTCATAAAAGAGAGGACAAATCCTGAAACGCATTACAAGTCACCGGTTGATATAAAAGTGGAGGAGTATTTTAGTATTGTTTACTTTTCAAGAAGACTTTCATGGTGAAAGCTTGTCTTTGTCATTTCAGTGGAAAATGCAGTGGAGCAGGCCCACTTTGGTCTGTTTTTCAACCAAGGCCAGTGTTGCACTGCCGCCTCCCGAACCTTTGTCCAAGCAGACATCTACGACGAGTTTGTGGAGCGCAGTGTGGAGCGAGCTCGGAGACGAGTGGTGGGAAACCCCTTCGACTTAAAGACCGAGCAGGGACCTCAGGTGACACACACGCTCGCTCACTGTTACGCACTGTTATACATTGTCGTTGTCAACTCCAAGACCAAACTACGCCGTGGTATTTACCTGTCAATCACAAGGTAGCCCCGCCCAAAATGAACATCATGCTGTATTGAAGAAGACTTGACACTAGAGATTGAGACCATAAACTTTACAATGTTTACTGAGGTAATAAATCAAGTCATTTTTTTCATAGACTTCTATACGATCAGAAGAGCCCCCCCCTAAAGGTCCTTAGAAATAATTCAAGTTCAAGGCACTTCAGCATTGGCTTCACTTTTCAGAACTGGATGTTGCCCTTTTTGCACTGGACTAGTATTACCTGGCGACCCCTAGTAATTTGTAATAATTGCGTAGGTAGTCTGTGATCTTAATGCCAAACACTGAGGTCATATGACAATGATCAGGTGTTTGTACTTGGCGCTCGGGCTCTTGGGTTAGTGTACGTACTTTCTCACACACTCAATGCTGTTCCCTCTGCGATGACCGGACCAGGTGGATCAGGAGCAGTTCAACAAGATTCTGGGCTACATCAGCAGCGGGAAGAGAGAGGGAGCCAAGCTGAAGTGCGGAGGAGGAGTGGCTGCGGACAGAGGATACTTCATCCAGCCTACTGTGTTCGGAGACGTCCGGGACAACATGACCATTGCCAGGGAGGAGGTAGGATAGTATGGAAGGTTTAGAATGCCCAACTAAAAACAAATGGACTTCTTCATATGATTTACGTACTCCCTAAAAAACGTGTTCTACATTATTTTTGTTGGTGGTCTGACAGAGGCGTTGATTGTACCTGCTGTTGTGATTGTATGTTGAAATGGTTTGCATCAATCGAATCACAAGAATCTTAGCTTTCCAAAGATATGTCGCATCAGTGCCTTACCTGTACATAACACAGGTTTACACTTAACGCGGGCCGTTGGAGTGTTAACAGGTTAAACGGGTTTGAGCTCTGCGGTTGTTTCCATTGGTTTCTATGCACACTAATACATATTTATCAGCTCGGGTTTAGTTCCAGTTTGGTGTAAGGCAGGATCTGACCCCTCTCCTGTTTGTTGTTGCAATGGAAACAAAATCAATCTTCAGAGAGGCGAATGCTGATTGGTGCTATGACTGGAGGGACCTCTATGCACAGTCCGTTTCAGTGCTGGTCATAGAAATACAAATATCTGGGGATCTGGATTGCACATAATTACCTACGGCAGCAGCTACAACTCATACAGCCGGGATTGCCTGCCGGTCAACAAGTTAGCTGCTAGCCACCGGCTAGCAGCTAACGGTGATGGTACTAGTATTGGTACTGGCATCTGGTGCATGTTCGGCCATTTAAAACAATAAGTGTACTTGAAAACGTGCATCAGATGCTTTAAGTGTGTTTGGGCCTTTAGTGTTATCTTAAAGACTTTAAATGTAAAGTCTGATTTCGACAATGTGGATGTGTCACAAGATATAAGAACGAGACTTCTCATTCAGGCTAAAAAATATCTTTTATTCGGGCTCTGATGTCATTTAGTGGTCAAAGACATTTCACCTGCAGTGCCATTAGGAAGAAATTGCGTATTCACTCCATCAATAATGGATAAAATATGACTAATTTGAACAATAGTAAATACGTTAAACATCCTCCGAACACTGTAAGAGGGGAAATGTTGATTAAATGGTTTGCTTGTGTGACTTATGTTAACCGTCGATTGAAATGACTTCATATGTCTTTTGATTTCCTGTCCCGTCATGTTTTCTCTTGCAGATCTTTGGTCCAGTGATGCAGATCATGAAGTTTAAAACGCTGGAGGAGGTGGTGACGAGAGCCAACGATACTAAATACGGTCTGGCCGCCGCTGTGTTTACTAAGGACATCGATAAGGCCAGCTATGTCACCAACGGGCTCCGTGCCGGAACAGTCTGGTAGGCGTGTTGACACTGAAGTCATTACTGTGTAAACAGTCTCTGAGCTGCAGATATTCATGGCTAATCACATGAACAGTCCCAGGAAAACACATTTTACAGCATTGGGTTTTTCATTCCCCTCAGCTCAATGCTCCGGTCTGGGGGATATGTATTTTTTTCTGTCACTGAGTGTTGTCGTGTGTTTGTGTTTCCCCTGCAGGGTCAACTGTTATGACGTGTTTGCCGCTCAGGCTCCGTTCGGAGGTTACAAGGCTTCCGGCAACGGAAGAGAGCTCGGAGAGTACGGCCTGGACAACTACACAGAAGTCAAAACGGTAATTGCTAAAAATGTACTTAATAATATAAGTTTATTGGATGAACCGCTCTGAATCAGGACCTCCTGGAATATGGAGCATGTAGCTCTGCCTGCAAAGCTAATGCTAACCAAGCGGCAACCTCCGGTGCTGAAACATGAATGAACCCAAGACATTAGAATAACTGATTATACACTGAGATACATAAGAACTAACTTCTTTAAACTGTCTCTTGTCTGTGTTGTCAGGTGATCACCAAGGTACCGCAGAAGAATTCTTAGACCTGTGCAGTGAGCCCAGTCAGCAGCGAGACATCACTGTCCCTTAACTTTTCCACCTGATTCAACATAATCAAAGAACTATAAAGACACCTATTTGTAATCTGACATTTATACATTTTCATAATAAATGCATTTGAGGTGTTTAAACTCACTCCTGTCATCTTTGTGTGTGTGATATACAGAGCATGTTAAAAAAGGTGCAATGTGTAAGATAAGGCCTGAATTTTTGTTTAAAACAGGAGGAAACTTTAAGCGTGCGTGCCAAAACAAAAACACCTGCCTAACTGCGTCTGATCAGATGGCCGGGGTTTACCTTTTGGAAACTTGCACCCTAGTTGATTTGTCACTTCTGTGTACCGACCAGATTATCAGTTATTAGTCAAAACGAGCATGCGGTGGCAGTTGTGTTGTCTCTGGTGCACGGTCCTTGCAGCTCCATGTACTATACAGGTGCATCTCAATGAATTAGAATATCATCGAAAAGTTAATTTATTACAGTAATTCAATTCAAAAAGTGAAATTCTTATATTATATAGATTCATTACACAGGGTGATATATTTCAAGCGTTTTTAATTTTGATTATGGCTTACAGCTAATGAAAACCCCAAATTCAGTATCTCAGAAAATTAGAATATTACATAAGACCAATTTAAAAAAAGGATTTTTAATACAGAAATGTTGGCCTACTGAAAAGTATGTACAGTATACAGTCTGCACTCAATACTTGGTCGGGGCTCCTTTTGCATGAATTACTGCATCAATGCGGCGTGGCACGGAGGCGATGAGACTGTGGCCCTGCTGAGGTGTTATGGAAGCCCAGGATGCTTTGATAGGGACCTTCAGCTCGTCTGCATTGTTGGGTCTGGTGTCTCATCTTCTTCTTGACAATACCCCATAGATTCTCTCTGGGGTCAGCTGTCATCAGCGTATGCGATGGCTGTAACTTTGGGCATATGACCTACACTTAAACCTGAAATTAATCAGTTTATTTTTTTTAATTAGAGGATGTATAACGCAGCACTTAGACAGCCCTGCTTCACTCCTCTCTAATTGAAAGGTTTCAGTTAAAACCCTATTTACACTTGCACAGTAGTGAGGTTTAAAACGTATATAAACATCACTTCCTCTATCTCTCCACTAAGGTGAGTAAAGTTTAAGTCGCTGTATGAAGGCATTGTTTCCAACAGAATATTGACACAGCCTACATCTGTCTATTCTCTTATATGCATTGACAGATTTCTGATTACTTCCCATTTTTTTCACAGTAAAAAGTATCACCTTCATGGTTTTTTATACATTTAATGAATTCATCTTGAATTTGTTTTTGACTTGATTTCAGCGCATGAATTCGATTCCCTCTGCTATCCAAGTCTGACTGTTTATAAACATTATATAATAACTCATGATTGATATCTATATATATAGATATATCTATCTATATATATATCTATATAGATATATATACAGTGGGTACAGAAAGTATTCAGACCCTGTGACGACCCTCTCTGCCTGTTCGTGTGGCTGCCTTCCTTGCAGGTGAGGTGGGTGTGGCAGAGGGTCGTCAGGCAGAGTGGAAGCACCTGAGGCCATTTGCAACACTGGCCCTGTGTGCCAGAGCACTCAGTACAAAACCCTCTGGATTCGCAGTTTGTCTCTCGCTCCTTCCTGAGACACCCATTTTGGTTTCTGTTGCGGTTATGGTTTTTTTCTACACTATACAACACTGCATATACACTTTACACGCACCCACTCACTTACACTGCTGAAATGATTGACTTCACATGTCACTGTTAGTTTGTTTGTCTTTTATATTACTTTAAACCTAATAAATAATTAAACTGTTTCATTGAATACGTCTCCCTTTTTTGTCATGGCTGTTCGGCCCGGTTTGTGACAACCCCTTTAAATTTTTCACTGTTTCATTGCAGCCATTTGCTAAAATCAAAAATTAATTTTATTTCTCATTAATGTACACTCAGCACCCCATCTTGACAGAAAAAACAAATGTAGAAATTTTTGCAAATTTATTAAAAAAGAAACTGAAATATCTCACATGGTCATAAGTATTCAGACCCTTTGCTCAGTATTGAGTAGAAGCACCCTTTTGAGCTAGTACAGCCATGAGTCTTCTTGGGAATGATGCAACAAGTTTTTCACACCTGGATTTGGGGATCCTCTGCCATTCTTCCTTGCAGATCCTCTCCAGTTCCGTGAGGTTGGATAGTGAACGTTGGTGGACAGCCATTTTCAGGTCTCTCCAGAGATGCTCAATTGGGTTTAGGTCAGGGCTCTGGCTGGGCCAGTCAAGAATGGTCACAGAGTTCCGAAGCCACTCCTTTGTTGTTTTAGCTGTGTGCTTAGGGTCATTGTCTTGTTGGAAGGTGAACCTTCGGCCCAGTCTGAGGTCCAGAGCACTCTGGAAGAGGTTTTCTTCCAGGATATCTCTGTACTTGGCCGCATTCATCTTTCCTTCAATTGCAACCAGTCGTCCTGCAGCTGAAAAACACCCCCATAGCATGATGCTGCCACCACGTTTCACTGTTGGGATTGTATTGGGCAGGTGATGAGCATACTGCTTAGAATTTACGCCAAAAAGTTCAATCTTGGTCTCATCAGACCAGAGAATCTTATTTCTCATAGTCTGGGAGTCCTTCATGTGTTTTTTGGCAAACTCTATGCGGGCTTTCATATGTCTTGCACTGAGGAGAGGCTTCCGTCGGGCCACTCTGCCATAAAGCCCCGACTGGTGGAGGGCTGCAGTGATAGTTGACTTTGTGGAACTTTCTCCCATCTCCCTACTGCATATCTGGAGCTCAGCCACAGTGATCTTTGGGTTCTTCTTTACCTCTCTCACCAAGGCTCTTCTTCCACGATTGCTCAGTTTGGCTGGACGGCCAGGTCTAGGAAGAGTTCTGGTCGTCCCAAACTTCTTCCATTTAAGGATTATGGAGGCCACTGTGCTCTTAGGAACCTTGAGTGCTGCAGAAATTATTTTGTAACCTTGGCCAGATCTGTGCCTTGCCACAATTCTGTCTCTGAGCTCCTTGGGCAGTTCCTTCGACCTCATGATTCTCATTTGCTCTGACATGCACTGTGAGCTGTAAGGTCTTATATAGACAGGTGTGTGCCTTTCCTAATCAAGTCCAATCAGTTTAAGCTGGACTCCAACGAAGGAGTAGCACCATCTCAAGGAGGATCAGAAGAAATGGACAGCATGTGAGTTAAATATGAGTGTCACAGCAAAGGGTCTGAATACTTATGACCATGTGATATTTCAGTTTTTCTTTTTTAATAAATTTGCAAAAATTTCGACATTTCTGTTTTTTTCTGTCAAGATGGGGTGCTGAGTGTACTTTAATGAGAAATAAAATGAAGTTTTTTGATTTTAGCAAATGGCTGCAATGAAACAGAGTGAAAAATTTAAAGGGGTCTGAATACTTTCCGTACCCACTGTATATCTATATATAGATATATATCCATATATAGATATAGATATATATCGAGATAGATATCTACAGTTGTGTGAAAAAGTGTTTGCCCCCTTCCTGATTTCTTATTTTTTTTGCACGTTTGTCACACTTAAATGTTTCAGATCATCAAACTAATTTAAATATTAGACAAAGATAACACAAGTAAACACAAAATGCAGTTTTTAAATGAAGGTTTTTATTATTAAGGGGGGAAAAAAATCCAAACCTACATGG